AAAAAAAAAAAAAAAAGAATATAATAATACTTTTTTTTGGTAGAACCAGAGATTGAACTATAATAAAACTTATTATTTGCTACAATAAAAATATAAAAGTTTAAAGAATTTATCATACAAAAAGTTTCAAATGACATGCAAGATAGCTCAGGGGACTAAGCGCCTGCTTAGGCAAGCACAAGGACCAGTGTTTGATCCCAGGCACCACATACCTCACTGGCCCCACCCCTGGGGGGAACTGTGCCCGCCATGGAGTCCTGGCTTGGTGATGCACACCTGTAATCCCAGACCTGGGGAGGCTGAAACAGGAGGATCACAAGTCCAAGCTGTGTAGTGAGACGCTATCCTAAATAAAATGAAATTTCAGTTTAATTCAGTGATTTTTTTTAAATGCCATCTACCAATGGAAAAAGGAAATGTATTTATACACAATGTAGTATTACTTTACCATAAAGATAAACTTGAGGCATCCATAGATAATTGGATGCAACTCAAGTCCATAATGAAATACATGAGACACACAAGTTTAAATAGTACTTTGTTTCTCTTATGTAAGACTACATGCATGCATGCGAATGAGGGAATGACATGGGAGAGGGATTAAAAAAAGTACTTAAGGGGAAAAATGATGAAAATGGTGCTTTTTCAAATGGGAAGGGGACCAAAAGTTGAAGAGAGCAGGGAGGGAAAGAAAGGATAGGGAATAAAAACTAAAGAAAAGGTAAGATCTGTTAGGAACTTGACCAGCCCCCTTGATAAATGTAATCATTGTGTACTGCAAACATGTACTAATAAGACACTAAGAAATGTGTCATCCACCAATGGAAATGATAGCTTCCAGTGGAAATTTTCCAAATGGAAATATTGTGGAATCTAATAGGTACAAATTTGTTGTAATAAGCTGTCTACTTCCCTGCTATTGAAAAAATTCACAACATTTTTTAGAATGTAAAATATTAGGTGAGTGAGGATGATTTAATTTTACAAAACAATTAAATGGAAATTTGATCCAAATATTTATTTGTTTGTTTGTTTGTTTTTATTTGTATATATTTGGTATAGGGTCTCACTGCACAGCTGGGATTCGTAGTGATCATCCTGTTTTCAGCCCTCCCAGTGCTGTGATTAGAGGCGTGTGCCACCAAGCTAGAACTCTGGCTGGCTCAGTGTGCCTGGGGGCAGGACTGGCAAGGCAGGTGGTGCCAAGGACTGAACCCTGGTCCCAGTGCTTGCCTAAGCAGGTATTTAGCCTGCTGAGCTATCTCTCCAGCCCCCAAATGTTTATTTGTCACATCAATCTCATATTAAAATTGTACTGCAAATTAAAAAGGAAAGCATGCTATATTAGAGTAAGAATAGTTACATCTTTTCAGAATATTAAATATGTAGGACTGAGGAGGAAATTTAAACAAAAAGCCAGGAATAAGGAGGCCAGCCAGTTAGCTCAGTGGATTAAAGATCCTGCTTAGGCAGACACAGGGCCAGGGGTTTGATCCCTGCCTGCCTTGCTGGCCCAGCCCCAGGGAGGGCTGAGACTTCCACTGATACTGGGTATGGTTCTGTGTGCCTGTAATCCCAGCGCTTGGGCGGCTGAAAACAAGAGAATCACTACAAGTCCAATCTACGTAGTGAGACCTTGTAGACACTGTACCAAATACATAAAAAAAGCCAAAGGAATAAGATCCTGGTAATTAAGATGAGAGGCCCACAGATCTGTGTTCAGGTCAAGTCTATCCTATATTAGATACACTTGAAGTGGGAAGGAAGGCTGCTCAAGCAGCGACACAGGCCCCACCGCCAACTCACACTGAACATAAACATGAAGACTTGTGAGGAGAATAGGATTCCCTCACATAAGCACTGCTATACTGTCAGATTTTCATATTTATTTTGACAAAATGTGCTTCAGTCGTTCATTTACTAATTCAAACCAAACTCTTTAAATTGATTTTCAAACCTAATTTTTAGCTTTTGTTTTCTGTCTACCTGGGCCACCATGACAAAATACACAGAGTGGTGGCTTAAACAACAGGAATTTGTTTTCTCCCAGCCCCAGCAGCTGGTGGCCCAAGACCAAGTCGCCTAGGACTGGCTGCCACAGGGCACTCACCTGAGTCTGTTCGGTGTGGCCTCGCCTGGCCTTTCTTGGGCACACACTTGCTGGCTCTCTCTGTCTTCTTAGAAGCACTAAACTCCTATTGGATGAGGGGCCCACCCTGATGACCTCACCTGACCTCCTGGTCCCCAGTACAGTCACACTGAGTGTGAGGCCTTCAACAGAAGCATTTTGAAGAGACGCAACTCGTCCATCATGGCTTTCATGCAAAAGAGAACCTCCATTAAAAAGTTATAATTGGACACATCCATCAGTAGCTAACAAAAATATAAAGAGTGATAAGAAGATAGAATTTAAATAGTGAAGGAATCTTGAGTTTAACACCAAAGCTATCTACAGAGAAACCTGGTCTGGTGTGAGGAGGGGAGCAGTATGTGTGTGAGGCACGCATGCATGTTAGGCCTGGTAGGTTTTCCCCTGTTTTCAGTTAGCTTATGGAAAGTTTCTTATTAATGAGCATAATTATTTAGTATATTTTATCAAATATTTTCCACATTAAAAGTTATAGAAAATGTGAGCAAATTAAATATATAGTGCTAAAAATTACTAAAGATAATATAATTTTGAAAATATTATGATAGTACTTAATTTTTAGTTTTGCTGACATTATAGCCTAAGGCTATGAATTTAGATTACAAAATAAATATTTAATGTTATCTTTCACTTGGGGACATGGTTGCGCTCACAGTAAAATATGGTATCTATTTTTGCATTTCTATACTCATTTATTTCAAGATATAGTTTCAGCATAGAGAGCAGTATCTTACCTCAGTCATAATATGAGAGTAAAATCGCATCCATTTCTGCCTTACCAGGTCATGATGCTGTACTGATGAGTAGTTTATTTTTTAAAAAGTGTGCTAAGTAGTTTAATTTTGTGAAAACTCCTACAGGAATGTTTAAAATACTTTTTTTAATGTTTGAAAATATTAAGTGAATTAAATTCTATATTTATGACAACTCTATTTCTTTTTTTTTTTTTGACATCTCTATTTCTAATGAACTTGCACATTAAAATCTTGGAGAGTAACAAATCCAAATTTCAGCTGAACTGCTTGTTATTACATACTTTTATTAATGTATGATTTCTACCAAGATTATCTAATTTAGTGACATTTAAATATTAATGTGTTTTACTCTGTGAAAGAATCTTCACTTGGGAAAATCAGTGTTCTCATTCTAAAAGAGGCATATATCTTTTTTCAGATTCTTTTCTTTTTTAAAAAATTTTTATTTATTTGTGTGTGTGTGTGTGTGTGTGTGTGTGGCCAGCTCAGCCCACCAGGGGGCGGGGCTGGCTGGCATGTGGTGCTGGGGGATTGAACCATGGTCCTTGTGCTTTGCTAAGCTTGTTCTAAGTAGGTGCTTTAGACCACTGAGCCATCTCACCAGCCCCTCAGATTCTTTTCTGTATGTTATATTAACTTATAATACTAAAGGGCCAGGGATATAGCTCAGCATTCTGAGATCCATTCCTGGTACAAAAAAAAAACATAAAAAACACAATAAAGTTTACTAGACTGGGCATGGTGGCACACACCTATAATCCCAGCTCATGGGAGGCTGTAAACAGGTGGATCACTATGAGTCTGATCTAACAGTGAGACCCTGAACAGGGTCTCAATAGGGAAGCCCTGTAGGCCCTTCCCTAAAATACAAAAAAAAAAAAAAAAAGTTTATTGTATACTGAAATGAATATCACTTGTGAATAGTGGAATATTTCATTGTGAATTTGTACCATTCTCCCTGTGTGAATGCAAATTACTTTTTTGGTAAAGTACAAAAGCTTTTCCCTGGTGGAAGTACAGCCCTTGCCAGTCTGCCTCCAGGAATAACATCCCTTTGAACGTGATTTATTTGCTGTCAGGCACCCTGCAGGAACAGCACTGGTCCTGGATTTTGATCATTTGTCCATTTGTAGGCATTCCTCAGACTTGCTGTATGTATGATATGACACAGTGGCAGCATCATAAAATGTTCTTTTTACCCTTTAAAATAAAACTAAGGGTTTTTTTTTTTCTTTAATTCCAGGGGACTTACCAACAAAGAAAATATTCCTTCTGGTTTCAACAACCTTGATGAATGTATTTTGAATACTCAGGAAGTAGAAAAAGTACATGAAAATACTTCTGATTATATTGGAGAAATGAACAAACCTAAACGTCAAAAATCTAGTTCTAAACTTGTTGAGCTCAATGAAAATCAAGATGGTCTTATGGTAAGTGAATATTTTTATCTGAATTTTTTCTTGTAGCCAGTTAAGAAAATAATAACATTCTCCTTCCATACTTTATAAGAGAAATAAAGTAATTTCAGTCTTGAGTTTCACAGAATTTTAGAATGTGAGTTCTGAGGCACCTTAGAACTACATAAATATTTACATTTGTCTTTTTTTCCTTTTTCACTTTCTTTCTTTTAACCTTTCTTTTCTTTCTTTTTTAATTTTTATGATTGTTGTTGTTTAGTGGTATTGATGACTGACCCAGCAAGCACATCCCTGAGCCTTTTTATTTTGAGACGGGGTCTTCCTAAAGTGTCCAAACAGGGCTTAAACTTGGGTCACCATGCCTTAGACTCCTGGGAAGCCTTGATTACAGATGTGCGCAGACAGACCCTACAGTGTTGCTTTTTAATAAATATAAAACTTAAAGGGGGATGTAGCTCAGCATAAAGTCCTTGGGTTTGATCTCTGGCATTGAAAAGAATAATCATAATAATAATAATAATGATGCAAAAGAATGTGATGTTCTGGTAAAGGAACAAAAGATAGCACACACTTTGATTTCCGTGGTATTTAAATTGGTCTGATTTTTCTCTTTGTTTTTAAGATTTTTTTTGTTTCATTTTTTGAATAAAATTGTTTGGCATTTTTCCTTATTTTCCAACATTCCATTTATTCCCTGTATGAATGTGTAAAAAACTGAATGAATGAATGAATGAATGAATGAATGAATGAATGAATGAATGAATTTATAGTAGGGTGAAAGAAAAACACACAGGGAGATGATCAGGTATCTTCATCTTCAGAAATTTCTTCATGTTCAGAAGATCAGTTTCAAGTTTGTACTCCCGGAGGTGTTTTTTTTCTGCAAATTAATCAATCAAAAACAAAAAAACCAATCACTTATTGTTACCTCACACTTAAAACTTAGTTTCATTGGATAATTTTATAGGTGTTTCAGCCAATATTTATTCAGCATAAACTGCTTGATGTCTTCGTTTTGTACTCATTCTTCATAGTCTCTGAAAAGTGAGAACCTTACATTCTTAATCTTTTGAATTTTTTAATTAACAACTCAGGATAGACTTTATAATACAACACGAGCTGATTACCCTTGTAAAAAGCGGCTGCATCCGTTTTTACTGTTTGATGATCACTTCTCCGGCCTCCACTTGGCTCTGACCAATCTTCAGCCCCACGCTGCATGGTGTGTATGTTCAGCAGCACCTGCGGACCACCTTTTTCTCACCATCATTTTCTGCACATGCTCAGAAACAGTTCTCAAGTGTCCCCTATGTACAGTATACACAAACGCAAATCCAGGAGACAACGTAATTGAATGAGCTCCCCTACCTCCCAAGTGTTTGTTATTTGTTTCTAGAAACAAAATATTCAACTAGGATGGTCAGAAATAATTATCCCCCTTAAATTTGTGTCTGGTACAATTCTCAAAACAAAGAATCTAACCTTTGGAAGGAATCATTACACATTAACTACATTTTAACAGTCAGTGATGAATTAATGATTTAACTTTTTTTGGAAAAGTTTAGTGTGTTTTGTTTTGTTTTGCTTTGGGAGATCAAACACCAGGCCCAGGGCCTTGGCAAGTGCTGAGTATTGATATGGATATAACCACTGGGCCACATCCCTTGCCCCTGAGCAGCAAATTTTTAAATAAAACACATGATACTGACTTCATTACTCTTTATTTGGCTCATGACTTGCTTACTTGTCAAAGAGATTTATGGTGGTTAAATCTCAAGTTTACCGCTTGAAAAGATGAACATTTTTAGTTCCCTTTTCTATTAACCAATCAATAATTTTTTCCCTACCAGAAATAGTATCGTCAAGTAGCTAGGTTAGAGTTAAAGAAGTGAAAAACATATTTAGTCCATGGAATATGTTTGACTGGTGAAACCATGGACATGGTTTCCTTTGTTGAGGCGCACTGGGCTGGGAGCCCCTCTTCCATCCTGGTCTTGTGAGTGTGAAGGTGTTGCCCGCCTGGCATCCGAGTTGTGCGTTCCCACAGGAGAGCCCCACAGACCCTGGCTTTGTTGCAATGAATAACTGAAACCCTGCCAGCATAACTTTCAGGAAGAACTTCCTTGTCTGTGTATTCTCAAAGATGTTTTCTAACTCTCCTATTCTATGAATTTTAACATCTAATCTTCAAATTAACCCCAAAGCAAGAGCCAGGGTTCATAACAATGACTGGTATTTAGATGCTAAGGTTGTTCTGCATCTTAACTTCCTGCTCATTTTTAGCTGTTTAATTTTACTTTCCCTAACCCTCCTCCAAAACCTTTTCTAACCCCAGTTCAAGGCCTTTACACTTGGGTGAAACATTTGTTTTTACAGCTAAAGGAAAGAAAAGAAAAAACAAAGAAAGAAATGAAGAAAAAAGAAAGAAAAATAAAAGGGTATATTTTTAGTTTTATACCTTATATATGCGAAAAAATATTTGAAATCTCAGGGATATGGTAGTGAGAGCAAGAGGCACAAATTCCTCCTTTTTTTTGGGGGGGGGGGATACCAGGGACTGAACTCAGGACCCTGCGCTTGCCAGGCAAGCGCTTATTCCACTGAGCTATCTCCCCAGGCCCAATTCCTGCCTTCATGGAACTTACATTCTATTGGGGAAAAAAAGTGATTAAAATAAACAAGTGAAGCATAATGTGTATAAGATAGGATTGATTTATTAGAAGGAAAATAAAGCACAGAATAGTGACAGGAATTTTGAGGGGCAGAGAATGCAATTTGAATAGGCTGATCAAACGTGCCCCAGCATTTGGTGTTTTGATTGTGAAGACCAAGAGGAAGCAGGAAGCAAGCCATACAGACAGAACCCCAAACCCCCAAGCTCCAGATGCCATTGACCTGTGTGGAAAGTGTGAGGATTCCTGGAGACAGACTGGGAAGAAAAGAGATGGGGAAGGGCTGGTAGGAAGGAGAACAGATGAAGCAGGGCCTCACGGTTCATGGGCAGGGCTCTACCTTTATTCTGGGGGAGAGGAGAAGCCAGCAGAGAGTTCTAGATAGAAAGGCAGTCTGACTTCCTTAAATTCTGCGTGACTGCTGTGCCAACTGATGACAGAAAGTGGGCAAGCAAGGAGACCAGTTTGGGTGCACTTGTAATTTCTAGGTTTGAAATGATGTTTTCAACTAAGTTGGAACTAGAGGCAGTGTGTATGGCCTTGGAGATTAGGGTTGCTAGTTTAATGAGACGAGAAAGACAGAGGCTTTGGAGAATGGTATCCTGGGTTCAGATTTGGACGTGTAAAGAAAGAACTGGCTGTTAGCCACCTAAGAGGAGGTATCAGCCTGGCGTGCAGAGAGGATATCAACATGACTGGCATTTAGATGCCACTGAAGGCAGTAGTTGGAGGAGACAGCCAAGGGTGCACATGTAGGGTAGAAGAATGGCCAGGTGGCAGACTCTACAGCATGTCACCACTGAGAGGATGGGGTGCTGAGAAGCCTGCAGAAGAGACATAAGAATGAAAGGACAGAAAAACCAAAGAAACATGAAGTTCTTGAGTGTTTTTTGAAACCACATAACCAAGTGTCTCACAGAGAAAGGTGGTCGAATGGAAGGTTGAGTAAAAGACAGTAGAGCTCACCATGATCATGGCAGGACCAAAGCTGGTAGATGGACAGGAGCAAAAGCTGTTCTCAAGAGAAAATGAGGAGGAGAGAAACTGCAGGCAGGAGCTTCCCAGTGACCTCACCAGCCCACACCACAGCTGAAGAGGGAGATGTGATACCCCTCCACAACCCTCGTTGAGGTCTCCACACTGAGCACTTTGCCCCTGTTCCTCAAGGCTACAATGACCAGCAGAAACCAAGAGGCCACAGGTCCCAGTCAGTATGAGATGGATGTATGAGTTAATGTTCGCCCAACCCCAGCAGTTTCCTCAGCCCCAGTTGCCAGCTGCTTGTGCCCTGATCTCGCAGAGGAGGTCTTTATCCCCTGCTTTACTTGGAAGAGCTGAGACAGTTTGGCTGGACCACTAGTTATGGTCCTCCCTCATAATAACAGCAGTTCTTTTAAACATAGATTAGCTTACACACTTTTAAGTAATAAGACACGAAATGTAGAAAGGGGGCAAGACTTCAAACTTGCCACTGATCCTTTGTTAATAAGACTACATTAAATGTTCTCCTTTTCAGAGCTCAAGGTTAGAATAATGAACCTGTTTTGACTAGCAGCATTGCTCTGGCCTTCAGTTTGACCTGTTTGTCTAATGAGAGAGGGTTTTTTTTTTCCCTATGTTCGCTATGAATGCTTTGTCAGCATTTTACAGTTTTAGAAGACAAATTTGTTTTTGTTCCAGCTATTTTCAAGTCCTTCAGTCAGTGGTCAAACAGGTTTTGAGTCTAGCTTTCAATGCCAACACAGAGAGGGGCAAAGAGAATGACAAATCTACAGCCTAAAGCTAGCTTTATCAAAGCATTTGCTCTTTAAATTTGAAGGTTATCTGTATAATTGAGGAAGGTGGTTTTTAAAATTCAGTTTCTTCTCACAGTCCAAAATTGTCAAACTGTCTCAGAGCATATCTGTGTTTTAAAAGTCACTAGGAGGACTTATGTGAGCCAGAATTTTGTAGATTGTAAGCTAAGCCTTATCTGGTTAAAATTATAATACAAGAAATAATTTCACTGCATTATACTTAAAGTCATAATCTGTTCTTTGCATTCTTTTTTTTAGTACTGAGACTTGAGCCCAGAGCCTCACACATATTAAGCAAGATCTATACCACTGAGCTACACCCCTTTTTATTTTATTCTTGTGAGGCAGGGGTAATTGCCTGGGCACCCTAAAGGTTGCCGTCCTCCTGCTTTAGCCTTTCAAATAGCTAGGATTACAAGTGTGAGTAACCATGCCTCGTTCTTCTTTGCTATTTTTTTAAAAATTACCTATTACCTTTAAGATATTTTAATTAAAACTTAGTCCAATAAGTCATTTTTATAAGAGTTATAGTATGTTACCTTTTAAAAATGACAGCACTTGTAGGCTACTCTCCTACCACACCTAGAAAAGGTTTGGGGAAATAAAACCATTCCAAACCTTACAAACGCACTGTGTACATATTTTCTCAGAGGGTAAATCCATTAGCAGCTGCAGCAGAGATGAAAGTCCAGCAGCGTACTTCTTATCCAGGGAAGCCTATGTTTCTATGCTGTTTTAGCCTGTGTGTTATATTTTCCCCTTCCCCCATCTCAGCGAAGTCAGAGATTAATCATTTTATCTTATCTCCCCCCAAACCCTAGACAAAGGATGGAAATTAGAATTTATAAAGCATTTTCTGCTCTGTGAAAATAAGTGATTTTTTCACCACGTTGGTCAGTTTCATTCTGAAAACTCAGGAGGGCTTGGCCAGGTTTAACCCCGCTCGGGTGACCCCTGCACAACCCAGCAGCACCAGCGGAGGAACACCTTGTGCCTTGCTTGCGCAGGGTTCAGGACTCCAGACCAGAGCTGTGCAGAAGTTTCACATGTCCAGAGATATGATAGAAGAAATGCTGAAAATGTTTAAGGAAAAATATTGCATGACATTGAAATCCATTGTGAATTACATCTGTAAAAACTCAGAGCCTTGTGGAGTTCTGGTGGGGAGTTCACAAAGTCAGTATTTATTCATTCTAACCCTTGAGTTTCCCTAAAAATTCTTACATTTTAAAAGTCCTTTTGCAAATCTACCATATAACATAAATGTTTTATAACTCTCAAAATCTGTATCAATATATTTTGTTTCCTTGTGTTTAGAAGAAAAGTCAATCTTCTATCAGCTTGTAACTGAAATATCTCTAAGTGTAGAATGCTATTTTGGTTTATTTTCTGTCCTTTCCTTTCTCAATTTTCCTTAGCTTCAATCTGAAAATGTGTATTTCTTCCATCACACTAATTCACACGTAATTTTAAATACATCATCCATTTCACCAACATCGTTTGGAAATTATATGAAAAGATTATGCCTTCCCTAGGAATTCATGTTCCAGAGCCTTAGGAAAACCTAATACTATTGCAGTAGATCTTTCACTAAAGATTTTGATAATCTATTAAAGATTACCAATGGGAACAAAGATCCTTTGTCACAGATATATTCTCCTTTATCAGGAAGGTCACATTCAGGTAATAAGAGCCATTATACTCTGGATTAATGGAACCCAGTTATAGGGGACCTTTTTAACTCCAACTGTAAGGGTGTAAACACAGTTGAATACTGTCACAACTTTTTTCTCAGATCCTCTCTAAAATTATTATCCCCTCTATTATCCATCTACAAGTTTTCTTTTTAGTAGGGAAGTGAGTTTTTTGAGTCAGGGTCTTGCTATGCAGTTCAGACTGACCTTTTAAATCACTATCTGGCTTAGCATTCTAATGAGCAGACATAAATACTATCTTTTAAATTCCTGGGACTGTCCTACCTATGGACAAATAATGAAATACTTTCTTTAAAGGTTTCATACCTAAGACATAGTAGTAACAACTAATACACACTACGTATTCCAGGCATGACTCCAGTGCTTTACATTATTATTTTGTTTAATCCTATGGCAGGTAGTGTTGTCATCAACTGGCAGTTGATGGAGCCAGAATTGAAAGCCATTCTGACTCCAAAACCTTTGTCGTCACTATGGTGTTGTATTATATCCCTTTCTTCCATTCTTTGATGAATCCGAGGGTGTCAAACTGAGAATTCCAGACAAATTTGGCCAAACCAACATAAATAAAAAAAAAAATGCACTCACCAATCAAGTCAGAAATTAGCTTCTCACTGTGATATGTGTTTCTTTTATGGAAATTTTCATACATGCCAATTTCATGGGATTCTTGTGACTGTTTAAAGTGTTTTCATAATGGTAGGTTATTATATATAGGTGAATATGTGTTCTTTATCATGAGGATGAGTTACTCTGTGCTTAGTTCTCTGCATTATTTTTAGAAAACATTGGCTGTACACTGAGGCAGTCAACCCTGGCACACATTAAGCCCACTTTGTTGGCCTAAAACATACACTATTCAAGTAAGCCTTCTATTTATATTTTGTGCTCTCTCACTAATATAAAGATTAACATTAAATATTGTGGAAGGAGGGATGGCCTCATAGCTCATTGGACTACAGCGCCTGCTTAGGCAGAGCTCAGTGGCTGGGATTCAATCCCTGGAGTGCCATGCCCGCCCTGCCCCTGGGGCGCGCTGAGACAGTGATTGAGACTGGTTGTGGTGGCACAGGCCTGTAATCCCAGCGCTTGGGAGGCTGAAAACAGGAGAATCACTACGAGTCCGATCTACATAGTGAAACCCTGAACACCCTGTAGATCCTGCCCTAAATACAGAAAAAAAAAATTAAATTACAGATGTAATCATTATGAGTTTGATCTATGTAGTGAGACCCTGTCCTAAATACAGAAAAAATATAAATAAATAAATAATAAATATTGTGGAAGCGCTTTTTTTGTGGAAGCGTTTTTTAATTACTTCCATTTTTAATGAACATATTTACAATGTAGATTCAAAATATAGTTATATATTATCCCAGATCATACTGACTATATTCAATGAAGGTAATAAATAAGCAATAAATGTTACATCAATTTCTGATTAGGTTCAAACTTTAGATTCCTCCATTCTAGCTGTCAGCCACCCCAAGTCTCTGATGATCTGAGGTCTGCTATGAATAGCTCCCTAACGTGCGTAATACCAAATGAAGACATTACAGAAACAGTGACCATTTCTGTCATGCTACCAACTGTCTTTTTTAAAGGGTTGATAAAACTCAATGTGCTACTTTATGTAAGCAGAAGATAAGCTGTCACAATTTTACTTGTTTTAACAAAGGTAGAGGGGCTGGTAAGATGGCTCAGTGGTCTAAAGCACCTACTTAGAACAAGCTAAGCAAAGCACAGGGACCGCTGTTCAATTCCCTAGCACCACATGCCAGCCAGCCCCGCCTCCTGGTGGGCTGAGCTGGACACACACACACACACACACACACACACACACACACACACACACACAAATTAAAAAAAATAAATAAAACAAAGGTAGAAATGTGGGTATGGGCCATGGAGATAGTTCAGCGGTCTAAGCGCCTGCCTAGGCAAGCATAAGAACCCAGATTCGATCCCCAATACCACATGCTGCACCAGCTACACCTTGGGCGCACTGAGCCAGCCACCATGCCTGTAATCCCAGTGCTGGGGAAGCAGGAATAGGAAGATTGCTACAAGTCCAATGCATAATGAGACCCTATACCAAATACATAACATTTTTTAAAATGTGGGCATATATAAACTATAATTTATATCTACATGTTACCTGATTCTTTTACTTTAGAGAGGAGTCTGCTGCTGCATGTTTCTTACCAGGGCATTAAGCAACCATAATTGTTCTGTTGCAGAATATGGAAAGTTTCTGTTCCTCACGACCAGATGACAGGACTGGAGCTGATGATGTTGAACTGATGTCTGAGGAAAGGTAACTGCAACATTTTCTCCCCCATTGTTCTCAAGGGTATGACAAGATTGTTTTCATTTAATACAGTATGAGTTATAAGAACCAAAAGAGTGAAACTTAAGAACTATATGTTGACAAGAAAAATGCTTAGGCTAAAAGTTTATGAGGCAAATAATTACGATAGTTGTGCTCCCATTTTTTTTCTTGTTTTTGAATGTTATAAGGGGTTTACTTAGTGGTTCAGCCCACTTTTTAAATAACTGGGGACTGGGGATATAGCTCAGTAGAATAAGCACTTGCCTGGCAAGCACAAAGGCCTGAGTTCAATCCCTGGCTCTGCAAATAATAATAATAATAATAATATAGCTCAGTAGAATAAGCACTTGCCTGGCAAGCACAAAGGCCTGAGTTCAATCCCTGGCTCTGCAAATAATAATAATAATAATAATAATAATAATAATAACTGAAGTGGGCTGCAGATATAGCTTAGTGGCAAAAGTGCCAGCCTGGTATAAAGTCCTGAGTTCAATCCCTGGTACCAAAAAAAGAAACAAAATAACTGAAGTTACGAATGTGTGAAAGGCATTGTCATAAAATACGGGCATTTCATGATATTTTGTTATTATTGCTGTTGTTTATAGCAAAGAAAGTGAAAGAGATGGTGGAGACGCTCAGCATTTTGAGGTAACTCACAAATGTGTGGCTATGATAGGCTGTCCCTATGTCCCTGCCTCTGTGTGTGTGTGTGTGTGTGTGTGTGTGTGTGTGTGTGTGTGTGTGTACATGCACGCGCAATGTCGCTAGCCTGGCCTTAGAGACAGTGAAAGAGTAGGACTTTGTCTGGATGGGATAGAAAGGCAAATAGAGCTAAAGATTCTTTGAGAATCTTGCTTTTTAAATTATTATATTTGTTTGTAAAGATAAGCTTTAACAGTATGGGGATTTCTCTTCAGATTTTCCATAGAATAAAGCAAAAAGCCATAGGTGCTGGTTTGATTTTTCCACGATTTGGTGCATACATTTAACTGATCAAAATGTGTTAAGTAATGAGTTTAATGAATCTGTCACAGGATGTCTGAGTCACTTTCCTTATCACTGGAACAGCATACCTGACACTCACATCTTGAAGGAGGAGAGGTTGATTTTGGCTCATGGTTTTAAAGATTCAGTGCAAGGCAGCCTTGACTGGCTCCAGGACGGGAAGGCTCGATAGGGTTCTGGGGAGAACAGCTGCTCACATCGTGATGGCCAGGAAACAACGAGCATGGAGGAGCAGTGGAGGAGCCATATCCCCCCGGGGCACTCTGTTGGGGACCACCTCGACCAGGCTCACGTTCTGGCCGCACATGGAGCTATGGACACGTTGGTGGATGTATCCACTGCTGGGCATACCCTGTCATGATCTAATCACTCTTTGGGGGGGGCATTTTTGTCCAAACCATAATGCAGGGCTTTTCGCATTCATTTTCACATTAGCGAATTAAATTTGAGTTATTTAATCCAATTGATTATTTCTGTTTTATGTCTCAGCTTAAGTAAGCAATAGAGAAAAAATAAGCTGCTACCTATGTCATCAGTACTTCCAGGTTCACTTACTTGCCTGGATCCTGATGGGTCCTCTAGGCATTACCACACAGAGCCAAGGTTTTGTTTTCCCTCATTTTCCGCTCAGCATGCTGGGGCTCATTTGCAGTTCATGTATATAAATTTAATGTAACTCCCCAAATTCTGCCGACTGTAGCTTAAATCTCTTAGCAGGTCCATGTTTTTCAAGAATGAAAAGCTTTTATCAACCCAGTCGTAAAATCCTGACTTTCTTAATGTATTAATTATATACAGAACTATTGCTCTAAAAGGACCCTTAGATTAATATCTAAATCCCAGTTAAGCATGGAAGATCAGTATTAACATTGGATTTTTGTATTTATATATATATATATATATTTGTTTTAATGTTTAAATGCAGATAAAACATTTAATGTTTGTCAACATGCTTTTACAAAAGTAATTCTTAAAGTACTAAAAATAAAATGGAATAAATTAACCCTTAGTTTTTGTGGTACATTGGCATAGCTTACTAACAGATTTTGTCAATACCATGTATTGTCTTCCACTGTGTACAAATTATGTGCTAGGACCAATAGTTTGATGATAGTCACAGTCCCTGTTCCCATGAAATTTTATAGTCTAACAGATGAGTCATCGGAATGCTGGGGCTGGGGTTTACTCAGTGAGGGAGCCCTTGTCTCGCGTGCATGAGTTCCCAGACCCAGCCCCCAGCACTGCAAACACACAAGCAAGACTTGGAAAGCGGTGGACTCCCTTTTTATAAAACTGCACACTTACATTAAATTTTGCATACAATGACTGGAAATCAGTGACCATACACACACACACACACACACACACACACACACACACTAATGCTGTATCTGCCTGATATTTCCTCTATTACATGCTTGTTGTGTGTACTTTGTTATCCTAGATAATGGAAAGGAAATGCTCCCTCTTTCTGATTTCCCAGCTTTGGAGCCAAGTCTTTCATCTCCTATTTCCAGCTCATTTGTGCTTCCTTCCTAGGGACCCTGACCCCAAGCTGTCATGCTTTCCTTTTCTCTAGGTGTCTTTTTAAAAGAGCCTGTTTCCTCATGATAGATTTTTGGGTTTTGTTACTTTTCCCCCCTTATCTTTTCTCTGCCATCTTCCTCTGCACACAGCAGGCACCTATTCAAGATGCCATTGAACATTATTTTAAAGAATATTGCTTTGCTAGCTTCCTACAGAGGTCTTCTCAGTTCTTCCCTTTTATGCCTGTTACCTTTTATGAGAGAAAGGGACTAGAGCAAGCTTTGTGGATGAACTCCACAACATTAACTCATAAATTCCAGGTGGCACCCAAGCTGAATTCATGCTGAACTCAATTTTCCTGGACCTTTGGTGGACAGCTCCAGTAGCAGTGGATAAATCATGGGGAAAGAATCTCAAATCCCCTTCCAAGTGCCAGGCGCTATTCTCGCACGTATCGCCCATGTACAGCCACCAATCAGCACCCCGCTCACAGCTGGCACTCCTGAGGCAGTCACTATTAATAATCATTATAATCCTGACCATTGCAGTGGGGAAATAAAATTAGGTGATGAGCTGAAATCCAGAGTCAGCTTTCCATGTCAGCCCCCATCACAACCACATCAGAAAGGAAAAAAAACATCACTGCACAAGATGAGGATTGTCTCTATCATGCAGGCATGCATCACTTTCACTAATACATATTTTGTTATTTGGGAAAGACTGAAGAGGTCTGTTCTTCATTTTTAAACCTCTTTGCCATAGTTGAGTGTGTTGTAATTTCTTACTTTTTAATATATAACCCTTCCTAAGACTTATTGTACCTTTCAAATAGTAATCTGATTTTCTGGTTACAAAAAAAAAAAAAAGCCAATGATAGTCCCTTAATTTCAGAGAAGAAATATAAGTCTAGATTTTGGTTACCTGTTCCAGAATTCTACTTAGTATTTATTTTGTTCCAAGCCTCCTACAACATCAGATAGAGATGCTGCAGTCTACACACTCACTATGAATAAACGTAGTGGTTTGTCCAATTTCTTTTTTCCATTAAAACAGATTTATTATCATTAGCACTGTCCTTCAAAATTCTTGTAAACCCTCAGATTCACATAAGGTGACAGAACCACTGGGGACAGGAGGGCTTTTCTTTCCTTTGGTGGCTGCTGTTCCCATGAGAGGAGAGATTGGCTGTCAGCCTCAGAACTGATATTCTTTTATTTTTTTAATCATTTATTGATTTGGTTCAGGGTCTTAGACTCTTAGTGATCCTCTGTCTCAGCCTCCCCAGCAATGGGATTACAGGCATGTGACACTATGTTTCAGGGCCCCAGGGCATACCAGGGTTTCGGGGCCAGCACAGCATGCAATACAAGGATCAAACTCTTTTTTTTTTTTTTTTCGGGATCAAACTCTGATCCTCGTGCTTGCCAGGCAGGCGCTTAGACCATCAAGCTATCTTGCCAGCCCTATTTTTTAAATAATCAGGATGCAACTTTCACTGTATTTTGTTTGGAGGCATACCTTAAAAGTGAATGTAGGGCCGGCAAGATAGCTCAGCAGCCTAAGCACCTGCTTAGGCAAGCACAGGGACTGGGGTTTGATCCCGGTACTGCTTGCCACACTGGCCCCATCTCCAGGCACACTGAGCCCGTGATCAAGTCCAGGCGTGGTGGCACATGCCTGTAATCTTGGTGCTGGGGGGGCTGAAACCATAAGGATCACTAGGAGTCCGATCTGCCTAATGAGACCTTGTACCTAATATATACATTTAAAAAGAAGAAAAAAAAGTGAATGTAAACTTATCCTTTTCTATATGGCTTTTTTTCTTTTCTTTTAATTATATAACTAACCTTATATCTAAAATGAGGGTGTATTGAGCTCTCTGATGGGCATTGGGCACTGAGAGCTGCCCATTTCTATTTTTTATGTGGCTAAAATTTAAATTTGTTCAATGACACATTACAAAGAAAAAAACAGTAAGAGTTGCTTCAAAAATGCCACAAATGAAAGCAGTTTCTTTCGGGGGTTTTAGAAAGACTGGTGCGTCAATAAAACATGTCTGGCTGCACGAAATAAGCTAACAAGAAAGAGCCAAGCACGTGCTCCAGGGGCACCGGGAGACCTGTTTGTCCTTTGGTTTCTGAATTCCTTTTAACAACTGCAAGAATCTAGAAGAGAGAGGTCAGCCTTACAGCTAGAAACACCTAGATTCTAAATCATGGAAAATACATTTTCAGAATTCTGCCTGTGGCAGAGTTTATACCTCATTCTATAATTCTAAGTTATTCTACTGTGAAAATATTTTATGCTTCACATAATATCTAGAATATTCAAATAATAACCTTACAGTGAACCCCTTTATCAAGGAAGCAAAACCAGTAGGAATTATTAACTGTCTCTGATATTCTCTGAGCAAGATCATTTTGTCAGAATTATAGGGCCAATGAAGTGTTAAATTCTTTCAAGATATTTTTGCATTCTTCATGCTTCTAAGCCCACTGCTTAAGAGTGCTTAGAGGCATACCTTTGATAACAAACAAGACATTCATCATAAACAGAAGACTATTTCCCTTTTTCTAATCCTACTTCCAAAGAAAGAAAAAGGAGAAAGGAAGGAGGAGAGAGGGAAAGCAAAAGGGAGAGAGGAAAAGAGAGAAAAAGGAGAGAAATAGAAAAGTCAAGGCTTTTTAGTCAAGACTGAGAACTAAATTATCACAAGACCTAAGCGCAAGTTTTCATTTGTCCTGAATAGATTTCTGAAACATCTATAGCAATAATTGCTGAAGACTACAGACCCTTTGCAGTTCACATGAGTTACAAAAATTTGTTATGTCCATTTTCATTTATTGTTAGGCCAAACAGTAAATATTTTTGGTCCCATGTTGTTAACACTGTGGGTTTTTTCCTATGCAAACTGCATTGACCAGTGTGCTCTCGAGTGCCATCATTCCTGGCTCTGATAAGCCTTCAGCCACTAATCCATATTTTGTGCTAGAAGGGAAAAGGAATGGAACAAGAATTCACCAAATAGCCAGGTGAGGTGGCACACATCAGTGATCCAAGCCCTCAGGAAGCTGAGGCATGAGGATGGCCACAAGTTTGAGACCAGTCGGGGCTATATAATAAGTTCAAGGCCAGCCTGAACTACATAGTGAGACCCTGTCTCAAATAAACAAAACAAAAAAATACCAACTGCTTGAAGCCAAGGCAGGGACAGGATCAATAATGACTAGGATAGAAAAATCCACCCCCAGCAGGGTAGGAACAAATGTTGGCAAAGATTAGACTCATAGACTTAGAGTCAGTGTTACCTTGACTACACCTAAAATGTCAAGTGGGGCCTCCGGGGTGGTGAGCACCTGTACTAGTCCCTCACACCCTGTGCTTTTCTTTTGTGACATACGTGACAGCAGGCTGTCCTCCTCACTTGGTCCTGTGACTTATTCAGATTCTGGTGCCTAGAACAGAGTGTGTATTTAATAAGTCCTTGACAAATGAATGAGTAGGCAACAGAAGGAGCATAGAAATGCTAATCACATTTCTGTTACAGTTACTACGTACTGTTTATACATGGCTTTCATTGAATCTTCAAAACAACCTGGTAAGCAGGTAAGGTTCAAAGAGGGTGACCTGCTGAGGTCTTGAAGCTGCTGCCAAAATCCATCCTTGTCTGCCTACCAGATAAGTCTCCTTAAAAGCCAAGCACTCTATTTATATGAGAATGCAGGATTTACTATGCTTTTCTGTGGGGCAGTTTTGATAAAGATTTGGTGTGTGACATCCCAGCCTAAGAATCTGAGATAAAATTGTGATGTTACTTATTCTCTGATTTAACTGAAGATAGACTTGTAAAGAATAAAAGCTTAAATCCAAGTTGTTTTAGTGTTTGAGACTGCCCTTGGCCTGCCTACCTGAGTAGTCTAGTAGGAGAAGCAACCAAAAATAGCCTGTAATGCCTTCCTGTGTAATATCAGCATTTGCAGAGGTTGTGGGCTTCCTTCGGCAGTGAGGGGAACATTGGAAGGAGCACAGGGCCTGAGCAGCTTTCCCATAAGCAGCCCGTGGGCCGCAGCCCCAACCCCACGGGCACAGGAAACTGCCAGCAACCACTGTGCAACTCTATGCTGACAGGCACCACCAGGTCCAGAGACCAGTAGGGCCAGAACCTGGGACTTGGCTTCTAGGAGCCATGGTCTTGTGAAAGAGACCTTGAGAAATGTAGGCCACATTCTGTATGCATTTCCATGGGAGTGGGAAGCACCCACAAGCACTGGGTGGATGTGCTGGAGGGAGGTCTACACTGCTAGGCCAGAAATCCACCAGGAGCCTGAGCCCACATGCATTGTGAGGGTCACATGTTTACACGCTGTCCAGGGCTTGTCCTCAGCACTGGGCATGGAGACCTTTACTGTCCTTTGCTGGATCCCAGATGCAGTGGCCTCTGTGTTGTTCCTAAAACACATACCAAATGACCATGCGTCACTAAGCAGGGCCCCAGGCACCAGCATCCCTTTTCCCCGGCAGCTCCTTCTCCCCCTTCCTTCAGGTCTCTGCTCAGCCACAGCTTTGTGGAGAGGCTCTGGACCCTCGGAATGAAGCCCTCAGCCACACCTACCCACATTCCTCTTTCCTTTCCTGCTTTCCCAGAGTTCTTGTGGTTTTCTCTTTCACTGTCTCCTCTGACACTCATCAAGACAAAGACTTTTGTCCAGTAGTGTTTCCCCAGTATCTAAAACCCTATGCAGTACAAACTGGATACTCAAAAACTATTTCTTGTTCATGTTGGATTTTTGGTTTTGCTTTTGCGTTTTTGAGAAAGGTTCTCACTATGTAGTTCAGGTTGGCCTTGAACTCACTGTGTAGGCCAGGCTGGCCTCAAAAATCACATAATGAAGATCTTCCTGTCTCAGCTTCCTTAATTCTGAAATTAGAGGTGTGTGCCACCATGCCTGGCTTTTAAAAATCATTTCTTGAACGAGTTAGTGAATAAATGTTATCTTTGTGTGTCTATTCTCTGACATTGGCTAGGCAGCACTATTGCCTAATACCTATTGCATATAGGAACCTCCTGCTTCAGGTAAATCAAAGTTGTTTTAGTATTTGAGACCATCCTTAACATACTAACCTGAAACAAGCAAATAACCAGCAATACCCTCCTGTATGATTCTGGTGGTCTCGGAGGGTGTAGGTCACCTGGCAACGTGAGGGTGTTTTTTTGTTGGGTTTATTTGTGTGTTTTTGGTTTTGGTTTTTTTTTGTTGTTGTTGTTGTTGTTGTTTGTTTGTTTTTGGCAGAATCGGGGATTGAACTCAGACCCTTGCATGTGCCAAAGAAGCACTTATTCCACTGAGCCATCTCCCCAGCCCCCAAAGTGGGTTTTGGTAGCAGCTTCAAGATTGCAGCAGGTCACCCTTTTTGAACCTTACCTCCTTTTGCTGTAGATTTAACTGTCAAATGAAAGGCCAGCACATGAGACCCTTCACAGGCAGCTGACACCCTTGTCCTCTGCCGCCCCCTGCCCTGTCCTAAGAGCTGATCAACCTGAGCCTCTTCTCACAGTGTCTTAGGTGGCACATGCCCCTGTCCTATCTGCTCATCCTTCTCCCTGCCCTTTTAGTCCACACCTGTTTGCCCCAGTCAGACCTAGAGCTGCCACTGCCGCTGCTCCCTGGTAGCTCTGTTCACTGGCCTTTTTTCACGATGCATTGAAAACTGTGTTCCATCCTCTGTTGTAGCTGCTCCACCTCACGCAGCTCCTCCTGCCTCCTCTCCCATTCATCCCGCTCGCAGTTCTGAGCCCAGCATTGTTCTTCCATTCATCTTCATAAGGTGCCACGTGGTAACAGAATGGTGGCTTCCATTTGTATCTCACACTGCAGGCCCCACGCCTTGCTTACCTCCTCTCCAGGCTCACAGCCCACTCACGTACGCCCTCTGAAAGGCTAAGCACTGGAGGCTCCACAGAGGGTAGCTAGCAGGCATCAGTGCCGTACTGCAAATGCAGCCCCGTGGCTCTGCATCCTCTCCCTTTCCAACACTTCGAGTAACCTGACATGCAGGTTTCTTACACACAAAAATACCATATTTTAATGAAATCACGTGTCTTGTGTGTGTCCTTTCCTTTGATGTCTCTGAGTATAATTATCTTTAGAAATCTTTGTTGGAAATATTTAATTACTGTATAATATTCTCTCTCTTTCTCTGTCACACAAACACACATACAGACACACACACACACACACACACACACACACACACACACACATGATTGCTCACCTATTGACCCTGTAATTTTTTAAAAGCTGTGTACCAGATGTGTCCATTTAGGATTCAGCTAGTGGAAAACATAGTTTTTGTGACATAAACAAACAGCATTTTTTTTAAACATCTCAAAGCTCCGGATTTCCATCTGACTTTAGTAGCTCATCCTGACCTAAGTGATGTTTTATTTTATCCCAAATGCAAGTACAGATCTTGAGCATTATTTCACAGAAATGTAATAGTAAAATTGCTGTCTGCTCATCTCCCTACTGACTTCAGAGTGGGTTGAATAGCTATTAAAAGTAGCAGGAAGCCTTAAATAGAGCTTTATTTTAAGTCCAAGAACATTTCTCTTACATTAATGAATTCACTTATGATTTCCAGATGTTCCCAGTTTTTTCAAATAACAATAGCACATTTGCTAAACTAAATTTCCAAAATAAATTTTTTCTTTACTGCTAAAGAAAAAACCTATACAGATCTGTGCTCCTAGAGAAATCCATTTTTGTTCATAATGTTATGAGAGCAAGAAGAGTGACAATGGCTTGGTTTACAGTATGCCTAAAAGAATGCTCAAAAGAGAATTGCAATGCAATAGAATTGACTCCAGTGTTTTTTTCTTTAACCACGAAGTCACATAGCTTGAATATCACCTTTCTGCAGAGGACTTTCCGAACAGTCAGATTTCCTAGACTGGTGTAGGTGCCACCAAGGAGCAAAACCAAGAGTAGCCACATATTTAGTATTCACAGTAGACGCATAGTAGAAAAACAAGTGACAGCTGCATATTTGTAACATATAAATTATGCATCGCCAACTTGCTAGCATTTGTTGTTCTTTTTTACGAAAGGGGGAAAAAAGCCACGCTCCCCGTGTAATTTTGGATCCCTTCCAGGGTCTGTATTTTGTACCACTAGCTGAGATGCGATGCCAGAGCCCTGTGTTGTTTGAATTTGCGCAACAATGCTTTCATACCCGGAGCTCCTCCATAAATAGTTGTTAGCCCCATACTCTGCGGGAAAACAGCCACAGGAAATCTGGGAACGTGCCGCTCGCCCAGCGTAATTGATCTAAGCCCACGGGAGTGTTTGTCCCCAGCCTCCGCTCCTGCGCTTGCAGTGCTGTTTACCTAAGGGAAAGAAGTCTGCGTGCAAGACACCATGTTTCTGTTCCAGCCTTAGCAACAGCAGCCGGCTTCTCTGTTGTTATTGTTTACAGTCTAGAAAGCCTTGCTCCTTTAAGGAAACACAAACTCCTTTCTCTCATTCCTAGCCCTAGTCTGTAATCATCCGGACTGTAGACAGCCAGCAGTTAGCAGGAGGAGCAGCGTGAGAAAGCCATCCTGATTCTCTCACTGAAGAAAAGTTAAAGGAGCGCAGATGGACAGCTGCTTTGGGCATGAGAGTGGTCAGCTTGTGTTTGGGGTGCACTGAGCCATGATTTTGATGTCTGTGCTGGGGCCGCTAGCAGCTGTGGTGTGAGAGGTTTCCCCCAAGAGTGAGGTTGCTGCAGAAATCGTTAGGTTCTGATGAACAGTAGCCGATCGGGGACACCGTGCTGTTATTGCAGAGCCCCACGATGAAGATTCAGGAGCATCCCAGCATACCGGACAGCAAACAGCAGAGGAATCAAGATGCTGACGCCCAGCAGGAGAGCTTTGTTTCCGAAGCACCCCATTTGGACCTAACTGCATTGTGTGATGAGAAGGGCTGGGAAGGTAGGTGACCTGCTGTCACTTGTCACTTGGAGATGTAGCATCAGAAAAGCATGTATAAATATGCATATAGGAGAAGCATGTGAACACAAGTTGGGGGGGGGCGCGGGAGAGCTCTGCTCATAGAAGTAACTGCGTTTGTAAGTGATGCAGATCTTTACCTGGCATAGAAATGCGTCACGTTAGCCTTGCCCAGAGTGGTTGCAATCTGAGAGGAAATGCTGTCGTCCTTTGTCACAGTGTCACCCTGCAGTCCTTTTTGTCTTTTTAACTCACGGAGAGAGATGATATGTGCCTTTGCCTTCTAGTTTTTACCCAGCAGAGCATATTGAGGATTTTCTTTTCTGTGCACCTGATCTCCCAGTACCACACATCAGCCACCTACTGTCTTCAGAAAAGCTTCCTGTTTTTTAAGAAAAATGTTTTGGTTTCCTTTGCTTCTGTTTATTTTTATGGGTCCTTTTCTTAAAATGCAAATTAATAAACTTCAGGGATTTGCCTATCAAAGAAAACACTAAATACAAGTGCTTCTTATGGAAAACCTATAGCATAATGGTATAGATTTGTTGTGCTGGGGACTTCCTGTGAAAATGTTAGCAGTTTACTTGGAGAAAGAAGAGAGTCACCTGAGCAAACCTGTACTCCAGGGAGGAGAGTGTACGGTATGAGTCTTGTCAAGTCACTTGCATTTGCATTATCCCTCTGCCTGCCTCCAAACACATATCTGTGTGTAGAAGAAATGCCTGCCTGCCTTTTATCAGTGCATGTTTGGAAGCAATAACCAGGGAGAATTTAGCTCCTGATTTCAGTACATCAGCACGACTTAACACAGTGACGTAGCAGATGGCCACAGCTATGGAAAGGTAGTCCTTAGCACCTGCGGTTCCTTTCCCACCCTTCCCCCTCTCCCTCTTTCAACCAAGAAGTACTCTGCACAATAGTCTTATGCAAGGATCAAAAGGCACTGGAAAGACCACAGTGGGAGAGAGAACCTGGTAAGCTCCTGGCATCCAGGGCAGACTCTTAGTTCCATTTTTTCTCTCTGGTAATGTAAGAAACCTGTTCTAGTTCTTCTAGGCCGTAGATCTGAGACAGTGTCAGCCCCTTCCAGCTTCCAGTACATTAACTGACCAAAAAAGGCATAGTAGGTTTAGTTTGTCATATATATATTCCTAGGTACTATTTGTTCTTTTATTTGTGTGTACTTTGAAATAGTATGTATGTTTTTAGTTCATATACTGAAAACAACCTATTCTTTCCCACCACAGAGAGTCTCATAGTACTATTGCCCAAATTTTTTTTAAAAAAAGCTTGAAAGCAATAATCTAAATAAATGCTATATTTGTATTTTAGTGATTTCTGTCTGCCACGAAGCTCTAAAACTATTTGGGGTCAGAATTCAAACTAGTCATGTTCTTGTCCTTCTGAAATGGACTGCTTATTTTTATCTTAGTTAATCATAAACTCATAACCTCTCCCAGCATACGTGAAGCAGCAGACATAAAGCTAGAAAGTTTTCCCCAGAGTATTTAAAAACCAACTTGCACTTTCCCTAAAATTATTTCATTATAGAGAAATTTTCTTCAAATAAATAATAATACAAAAAGAACATTTTATTTTAGAAATCTAGATATAGTAGAAAAGGCTCTTGGAGAGCCAGGCTTGGTAGCACACGCCTGTAATCTCGGGGGAGGCTGAGGCAGGAGCATTGCCTCACATTCAAGGCCATTCTGAACTACAGAGCAAGTCCCTGTCTCAAAGAAAAAAAACAAAACAGCAGGTATTAGAAAAAAACTACATCCCATTCCAACCAAGTTTGGAAATGTGAATTGGTTATCCATGTAATTTTTAAAATTGCTATGACTTTTTTATTTCAAATTTCTGCATTTGCTATTGAATTTGCATGTCTTAAAATCCACCTGGACTTACCTCAGGTCATTTGATTTTTTGGTTATTGCTCTCAGTGACTTTGAAATCACCTATTTTCCAACTTACATTATAATACTAACAGCCAAAATATAGTAAAAATAAAGGAATTTCTTCATAAAAGTAGATACTATGAGGGAAATAAGGGTTTTTTTTAATTTTTATATTTTTGCAACAAGCTTTTGCTATGAATTCCAGGCTGGCCTTGAGCTCACCATGTGGCCAAGGCTGGCCTTAAACTCACAATGATCTTCCTCCCTCAGCCTCCAAATGCTGGGCTTACAGGCGGGCACCACTGTGCCCAGCTTGAGAGCACTAAGCTTGACTGCTAAAGCCTCACCACATTTTATAACTTCAATAAAAAGCAAGCAGAATGGTGTTTTCCTGTGAAGAATGAACTGTGCACTATTTTAAGCTGTGTTTGAACCCAATGAATGCAATGTGTGTGTGTGTGTGTGTGTGTGCATGTATGTGAAAATATTAATTAGCAAGATACACATGAGCCAGTTCCCATCTGTAGGCTTCCAACACCACTCTGCTATGTGGTATGACGGGCTTCTGGGCTTGCGGGTCCATTTTCTGTCCCTAGGCATGGTCACACTCACCGCTGTGGAACCATGCTTTATCTCATCTACGTATGCGCCTGCACGCGTGCACACACACACACACACACACACACAGAATGATGTTTTGGGGGGTGTTATTTGATCTATCTACATACCATCATCATTATCATCAGCATTATTGTTAGAGTTTTCACTCTCCAAGTTTAAATAAATATAGAAATCAATCTCCTATTCTGTTATTGAAAACCCTTCGTAGCTGCATAATTAGAGCATTTCCAAGCAGCTAATTCATTTTGATTTGCAGGTTACCAGCTGTAGAAGTACTAGAGTTTAAACACTCAGCTATTGTACTCAATTTTTTTTCTTTTTTCTTTTTTGTATTTAATGCAGTGTCTACAGGGCCTCACTACATAGATTGGACTCGTAGTGATCCTTCTGATTTCAGCTTCCCAAGCACTGGGATTACAGCTGGGCACCACTGTCCCCAGTCTCAGTCACCCCAGGGGTGGGACCCACAAGGCAGGCTAGGGATCGAACCTCTGACCCCTGCATCTGCCTGAGCAAGTGCTTTCATCCACTGAGCTATCTGGCCGGCCCCTCAATTTTTTTCTGTTAAAATTAATTTTTAAATGACATTTTAGAGGTCATAAAAATAGTTTATATGCTCTACTCATCACTTGTAAAATAATTTATATGTTGCTTCTAGACAGTAACTTTGAAATTTCTCCAAAAGAATCATGAAGAAGCAAGGAATTGTACAAGATCTTCCAAAGAACCCTCCTATTATGCAGATAAAAACAGGCAAAATGTGGATTCGCAGTTAAGGGCTCCTCTTTTCTGGTAGATACCTCCTTCTAAACAGTGCCACTTAGGCAGCCTTGTAGGCAGCAGACCAGAGTGAGGAGCCAGACGCCTAAATTAAGAGCCTGTCTTTTCTGTTTAACCAGCTCTATAGGCAGGTTAATAAACCTATCTCCTTAGTCTTTAATTTTCTCATCTTTAAGTATAAAAACAGCAGATAATAATGAATAGTTGATATAGTAGTGTGTACTTAGCAAATTTGTAAGGATTAAATGTACTAAAATGCACTCAGCATGGTACGAGTACCTAGCATGTGATTGTTAATTATTATTGTCTTCCATAAATATCCCCAACCATAGTTTCAGGAAAAATCAGCTTGTGTTTGTTTTAAAACAGGGGCCTGGCTCTACCTAATGGCCTTGAATGGCCTTGAATGGCTCTGGCCACAGCAGAGGCATCCATAATGACCAGGCCTGTGTGGATTTACTGAGCACGGGCTTCATCACGCTGTTCTCCCTTCTTCAGGGATGTTAGCTAGTCTCTGAATTGGGAAGGGCTGAAAGGACTACAGCTGGGTCACTGACAGAGCTTTGTGGTGATACCTTTGTCAGGATGTGCAAGTAGCAACAGACAGATGGAGCAAATTAGTAACTGATGAAACACTGCACAAAAATGTTCAGGAACGTGGACCAAAGTCAGCTGTTGGGGATATTCCTACAGATAAAGTCCTCAATCCTGACCTTGTCTGCATGTATCAGTGATTTAAACAGAGCCACTGAGGACATGTAGTAACTGAAGGTAGGGACAAAGCAGATATACGAAATATAAGGATTTGTAAATTTGCAATAAAGTTGACTGCTAAAGTTCATTTTTTTTTTTTTTGGCAGAACCAGGATTGAACTCAGGCCCTTGCACTTGCCAGGCAAGTGCTTATTCTACTGAGCTATCTATCTGCCTGGCCCCTAAAGTTCCTTCTAAACCTGATAGTTTCTGAAGCTCTTGAACAATTGCATAGGACTATCATCGTAGTAAGGTTGAATTTCTTTTTCTTTTCTTTCTTTCTTTTTTTTTTTTTTTTTTTTTTTTTTTTAGGGAAGGGTCTACAGGGTGGTCAGGGTCTCACTACTAGATCAGACTCATCGTGATCCATCTGTTTACAGCCTCCCAAGAGCTGGGATTACAGGCGCACCGTGCCCAGTCTCAATCACTGTCTCAGTGTGTTCCAGGACAGGGCTGGCATGGCAGGCCTGGGGATCGAACCCCCAGCCCCTACACCGGTTTGCAGGCACTTTAATCCACTGAGCTATTTGGTTGGCCCTAAGATTGAATTTTGAAGCACACAAAAAAATGTTTATGAAAGTAAAGTGCAATCTCAGTAGGCTGTCTATGTTAAGGATGTACCGGAACCTCCTGGCAGCACATAGAAGGGAAGTGGTTATGACACAGGCCAACAGGAATGCTCTAACACAGGAGGGATGAAGCAGGAAGCCTCTCCCTTAATTTAGTGCAGGTTTCTTAGAAGCAAATCACCTGAACATCCAGTCTTCTTTTCTATAGTAAGTGGACCCCACCACCTAAGCAGAGAGTGGTTGCGCCCCAGTGACCACACTGACATTGCTCTGAGACTCAGGCCCTCTTCCTGCACAGAGTTTCTTTGTGTACGTGTGTACTATGGTATCTATGCTGGAACTCCTCCAGGGGAAACAGGAATATAGCTTTTATCTCTGTTATTTCCAACCTGTTGTGCAGTCAGCTGACATGATTGAATTAATTTTTAATAGAGACATGTGTCGTTATTATATCCAGAGCTATTTGTGAAAAGACTCATGACTAAAACCCAAACCACTGTATCCAAAGAATTCTGGTCTAGTTGTGAAAATGCACTTACATGGCACTTTAGGATGGAAATCTAATTTGAAGCCTCAAATCTTCTATTTTGCTTTTGAATAATTTTCCTATAGTATCTGATTCATTGGTATAGAGTTACTATTGAAAATGTAAAACATTTCCAAGCAACCAGTTTGGTCAGGGAATGCAAGTGGCCATTGTGTGTGCCATGCTGTTCTTATTCAGCTCTTACCTTGTTGTTCTACTTGAGTACCAACTATCAAAACAAGAGACAGCCTTATATTTTTAAAACATTTCAAACAAAAACATGCAACTAGTAGGTTTTATAGATTTTTTGTTACATTGAACTATGTATTATGTGTCATTTGATAACTTCTTTAAATAGATATCCTTAAAATATAAGACTGTATAATAAGAAGAAAGGGGAAAAAAGGAAAGAAGTCATATATTTATTTATTTTTGGCAGAACCAGGGATTGAACTCAGGCCCTTGCACTTGCCAGGCAAGTGCTTATTCTAATGAGTTATCTCTCCCTAGCCCAGTGATGTAACCATTTCATGTTGCACAGGTAGGGCTACTTCACTTCTGTTTCACATACAGATTTTTTTTTTCGGAACCGGGAATTGAATTCAGACCCTTGTGCTTACCAGGGAAGCGCTTATTCTACTGAGCCATTTCCCCAGCCCACACATACAGATTTTTGATGAAACATTACTTTTGATTTTGTTAAAGTTGAAATTCACAGTGGTTTTACATTTTCCATTTTTAAATAAGTGAGTACATTCACCTACCCATGTAGAAAAATGGTACCTTTAGGCTATTATTTCAACTGTGTTATTTCCTGTGACACAAGGAAAAGGACTAGTTAGTTGACTAGTCAAGAAGAGAACCACATCTAGGCATGGTGTACACACCTATAATGACAAGGGATTGCCATGAGTTTGAGGCCAGCCTGGCCTACGTAGGAATCCCTGTCTCAAAAAAGAAAGGGAAAAGAAAAGAGAGAGGGAGGGAGGAAAGAAGGGGTAAAGCCACTAAAAGCTGAGGAAATGTGAAAATGGCCCATGTTATCCTCTGTTTGTCAAATAGACGTTCAGTTCCATAATTAGCATTTTATAGTGAATTAATTTGATCTTGAGGACATGTGTGGCTAATAGACACTTTCTGCAAAAGAAAGTTTTGTACAAGGACAGCATAGTGTTGAAATCTTAAAGATTAGTAACCTATTTTAAAAAGCTATTCTGCTAGATTCAGACAAATTAAAGAGGTTAGGAAGCTAATATAATACCTTCCAGGTTCTTTTGTGAAATAGGAATGTCAGCCATGTGTCGGTACAAACCTGAGACTGACTTGCCAAAGCCCTGTGTCCTTGCCAGGTTTCCTTGCCATTCCCCCAGGTCTTTTGCTCCTTTGCCTTTCAGTGGAGAGGTTGTTGCCCATGCAGTGTAGTTCAAGCCATCTTAACCTTTTCCCTGTCGTTGACCTGTTAGTTTCAGTTCTGCCAGAAAATTGCTACTGTCATATAAAATAGAAAGTGCAGTCTGGTCAGTGTAACAGGTCCATTTGCTGCAGTTTAATACTAGACTGATTCTTCCCTTGAGATTACTTTCCACCCACCCCCTCTGAACATCAGCTCTCCATCCACGTGTCACCCTCTCCTGTTCGCACCTCAGAGCTGCTGGCACCCAAGCCCACTAGGTACCGAGCAGAGGCGGGCAGCGTTGGCATGAAGTCGATGCTGAGGCCGCTCCTCTTTGCCTGCAGCCTTTCTCCCAGCAGTCCCTGCCTGTGGAACCTCAGCAGATGAGAAGCATCTGTTTTAAACAACTGCTTATATTTTTTCAAAATATTTATATTATCTGTGTTCTTAGATAAGTTGGAACTCTTTAAATTTTGAGAACCTATGGACTTTATTGCATATGAAGTCAGGGTTTTCAAGACCAATGTGCTTATTTCCGCTATTTTACTATGCGGTCTTCAGGAATCTCAGGCCGCTGTCACATTATGGAGCCCTGGGACATTCTAATTGGAAACACTTACCAGGGAGTTGGAGACTGGGTTTCCAGACCCAACCATAGTCACTGATGAAGCACTTCTTTGGGCTGGATTGGATCAGTGGTTCTCACACCCGGCAGTGTGTTAGGATCATCTACATGTGCCTCTGTGTGTGGGGTGGGGGAGGTAGGTTTCACTATGTGATTCTAACAGGCAAGGTTGGCAGAGCACAAGACTGCCTTATGAATGGAAATTATATCTGCTATATTGCTTTATGATTGTAGTATGATCTTTGTAGATAAAAAAGCTGACTCTGGGGCTTGTGGATTAACTCAATCAGGCACTGCCTTGTGTGAACTAACTCAGCCAGGCACAGGGGACCACGGTTCGATCCCCAGCCCCAAGTGTCTTACCAGCCCTGTCCTTAAGGCAGCCTGAGCTAGCCAAAAAGAAAAGCTGACTCTGAACTTAAGGTACTTATATACATTTTTTAGTTTCGTGCTAAAGAAGCCACTGTTCCATGATTCAATATCTAAGAATCCAGAATTTAATCCTGGGAAAATTCCAGCTTTATGTCAATCACCAACCCCCAAGTGAATATAAAGCATAACCATTTTTAGTGCAGAGTATTACAAATAAAATACTGTTTGTCTCCTGAAATGTGTCTTTAAGAACTTTTAGATTTGATTTTTTTTTAATAAGGGAAGGAATAAATTGAAGCAGGTCTCACAGAAGATAGAAATAAACACCACCCTCTTGCCTCCTAAAATGACCAGTCAGGATTTTGTGCTGAGTATTGTTACAGATTATCTAGAAATAATCTGTACAGTTTGGTCCTCTGTAGGATGTTCTTTTTTCCCTGTTTTGAATAATTTCTGAGTGCTTCTCCGTTTGAGTGCAGCCTTGAACAGCCTTTAAGTTAAGTGAAAAGCATGAACAGAGCTGTGTTAATCCTACACACTAAGCAGAAGCACACGAAACAGCTTACTTTCAGTGACCCCACTGGAAGTTGTAAACCTCCCATCCCGGCCTCTCTCTCACTGGACGAATGTGGACCTGAGGCTGTGCCACTAGAGGACAGATAACCGTGGCACCGGGTGCTGGTTGCCTCCCTTGGTGACCCACTTGTTTTTCCTGTTCATAATGTTCTCGCAGGGAAGGTTTGCATCACTGGCCTGTCAGGGAGGCTGACAGGTCTCGTTAGCCTGCTGCACACAGGCTGCTTCTCAGAGTAGCCCTAGCAGGTTCTTTTGAATCCAAGAGAGAATGAAAATGAAAGGTAACTAATGCACAGGTGAGATGTCACACCCCTAAAATCCTAGCACTCAGGAAGGCTGTGGTAGGAGGATCACAAGTTCAAGCCCAGCCTGGGACGCTCTTAGAGCTGGGATGTGGTTCAGCGCAGAGGCGCTGGGTTCAGTCTCCAGGATTGCAACATCATCATCATCATAATAGATACTATCAGATGTAGTGGTAACTTTGGTTGCTCATGGTGTCTCAGATCTGAAAGAAGAATCATTCAGTGGCCCCTCATAAAGCCTTTGGGGGCACTGGCACTTGCCGGACACCCTGACCTCCGACCACCTTTATTTTCCAGAGCCCGTCCCCACCTTCTGCTCCTGGCGGCCAGAGGACCCTGAGTCAGAGGAGGCCCGTCTCTCCCCGCAGGCAGGGCGCCTTATTCGCCAGCTCCTGGAGGAGGATAGTGACCCCATGCTCTCGCCTCGCTTCTATGCCTATGGGCAGAGCCGGCAGTACCTGGATGACACGGAAGTGCCGCCTTCTCCCCCCAATTCCCACTCTTTCATGAGGTACGTTTCTCTGTGCTGCTGATAAGCAGATGCCCTAGCTGTATAACCTGAGAAAAGGCCAGCATGGTGCAGGTGGCTGGCAGTTTTCTGAGCATTAGGTTATGAAGATGTGGAGGAACTTTGCAGCTGAACTGTGGCCCTTTGCTAATCCTAAATGTGAGCCACAGAAAGCTAGACTGCTTCACAGGGGGAGACAGAGAGAGCTTAGACTTGGGGGATGAATCTGTCAGCTTCTCATTCATGAGCAAGGGAGCAAGTGTGACTCGTCCTCTGTACCAGTAGCATCCCACAGTCCAGTGCCCCTCCTGGCTCTGAGAGGGGACTAACCCTCGCTGCCCCCTCACAGGCGGCGAAGCTCCTCCCTGGGATCCTATGATGAGGAGCAAGAGGACCTGACACCTGCCCAGCTCACACGAAGGATCCAGAGTCTTAAAAAGAAGATCAGAAAGTTCGAGGACAGGTTTGAAGAAGAGAGGAAGTACCGAGTAAGTGTCTCACACACCCCTTTACCTCCTGTCCCCAGCGGGCCCACTGTCAGCAACTCAAAAAGCAACATAGTTAAAGGGGCTTTCTAGGGAACCTAAAAACAAAGACAGTAAACATGGGAGAATAAAACCTAGTGGATCCTAACCACCATGTTTGCAAGTACTCTTACACTGCCATAGCCAAATAAAATAGTGAAAGCTTAAGTCTACATTTATAAATTCATCAGTGAGTAGCAATGAGAGAGAGCATTGAATAAAACGTAACTCCAGATTGTGTCCTGTCCTTGGTCAGTACCAGGCACATTTACTCACGCTGGCCTCAGGGAGTCCCCCAGAAGTGGCAGCAGGCATCTCTCACGGTGGCTGCAGCACAGACAACGCAGGCACCTGCACTCTGCTCTTTGGTCTAAATGGAGCCCACGATCCTAAGGCCCAGCATTGTGCCTCTGAGGAGTTGTTTGAAGGCATTGGAAGTTACCAGCGTGACAGAGCATGGTGGAATTGTATTGTGAATCTGCCCTAACTAATCATGACTAATTCCTTATGCTAATGAACTCTACTTTGCCTTCCTACATAAAATAAAGATGACTGTCCAATGTGCTTCTTTTTACTGCCCTATGGAAACATTTACTCTGGACTTTTTCCTTCTCAGCCTTCCCACAGTGACAAAGCAGCCAATCCAGAGGTTCTCAAGTGGACAAATGACCTTGCTAAATTTCGGAAACAACTTAAAGGTAGGTGATAACCAGAGCCTGTAGTGTGACCTCTGTGTGCCAAGCCAGGGACTGAGCGCCCCCCTGAAGTAACCCAGGGCTTCAGGTGCCCTTTGGGGTGACAGCCTCCCTGTCTTGCCATGGTCTCAGTCCCAGGACACCAGATCGGCTCAGAGGCAAACTCTGCAGCACTTGTGCATCTTCCAGGTCACTAATGGGAGGATGATGGTTTCGAGCCAACACTTTGTAAGCACCTGCATAATCCAAGGCTTCATGTGTTTTGGCCTTAGGAGGAGGCAAGTAGACACAAATGCCTCTGAAAAGCATTTGGCCCCTTTCCCTCAAATAGTTTGCTCTCATTTAGGCCATAGCCCGATAAACAACTGAATGGAATATGAAGTTAAGTATTGTGAAGAGGGCTGAGGAGATGGCTCAATAGAATAAATGCTTCCCTGGCAAGCTGAAGGGCCTGAGTTCAATCTCCAGTTCAAAAAAAAAAAAAAAAAAGAGTATTGTGAAAATATGGTGCACAAGTTATGCAGAAATAGAAAGTTAAATAATGTGAAAATGTGGTATAAAGTTATGCAAAAATAAACCAGTCGAGCCTCAGAGTGGGACATGTCTTCACCTACCCAGGGTAGGGCTATTCAGCGAGGCCTGTCCCGCTGAGAGGGCAGCTGAGGTAGCAAAAGCATGGTTGTTAATGGGCTATAACTTTCTCAGGAATAAGGGTTTGGGAAACATTCCAGATAATTCAGGAAGACATTATCATTATTTTGGGTTTTACATAATGACTCAGGGATTTCAGCTGATATTATAATTAGGTGCTGTGAAAAGACGTAGCTAAGCAGTTATTGACATCAGAGAAAAGTAACTTGGGTTCAGCAGACATTACTTCTCATCTGTCCCCACCCCCAAATCTTCTCACCTAGAGTCAAAACTGAAGATATCTGAAGAGGACCTCACCCCCAGGACACGGCAGCGAAGTAACACACTTCCCAAGAGTTTTGGTTCCCAACTTGAAAAAGAAGAGGAAAAGAAGCAGGAGCTGGTAGATAAAGCGCTCAAGCCCAGCGTCGAGGTGACCCTGGAATCTATCCAGAGGAAGCTCCAGGAGAAGCGAGTGGAAAGCAGCCGCCCGGAGGACATTAAGGTGTGGTGGCTCTGAGGAGGCCTGCAGGGAGCAGCTGACCCTACTTCCGGCAGCCAGCAGGGGACAGCAGCGCAGGGCTTTCCCTGGGAGTCCCTATGGGAAGTGACACCTCTGTGGATTGCCCCCACTTCTAGAGAAATAGATGGGATGACTGCAGTGTATTTTATCAGCCGGTACTTTGCTTTTTGAATACAGATCGAAAACAGACAACCCTGTAGATTACAGAATGAACCTAGTGAGGCTAAGAGGCAGCTTGATGACTCAGAGGGAGAACAATTACAGAGGAAGAGGGTAACATGGACATCACTAAGGCAGCTAAATCCGGCCCCCAGGGCGCAGAGCACTGCTTTCCTCTGTAGTGAGTGCACCTCCCTGCTGCCTTGTGGGAGATGAGGCAGCCAGAGCTTGGGGCTGTGCTGTCCCTGCTGCCGGAGAGGTCAGAGGGGTCTTTCTGAGAGAGTTCAGACAGAGCGGAGTAGAGCTGCGGTACAGGGATTCTTTTAACCTTCCTTCGCAATAGATCTATTTAACTAAACAAAGAATTTAGAATGTTCACAAATGTTTTCCCCCTCTTTGATTTCTTATCCCTGTGTTTATACAGGATATGACCAAAGACCAAATCGCTAATGAGAAAGTGGCTCTGCAGAAGGCCCTGCTGTATTACGAAAGCATTCACGGCCGGCCGGTATGTGAGGGCTGAACTTTTTGACTGGGGTCACTAATCTGGCTTTGGAAATGGATTTTCTATGTTCAGTTTGTTATCAGTAGTGTTCCCTCAGGCTTACTTTCTTTACATTTAGTTAAAGGAGGTTTATTGCATATCACATTACATTAAGTTTTTTAAAAGGCTAGCCAGCCACTCTGAAGTGTTCTGTTATCTAGTAGACACCGAATTTAAAGTCACAAAAATTTATTTGCAACTGCAATGGGATCACTAGAGTCCTATTAAAGGTGGGAAAAGTTGGGGAGCAGGAAGTGTGTGGGCTGCACAGAGCCCTGGAGCAAGAGACCACCCCATCCCATCGACTGCCATTAGCTTTAGCCTCTCTTCTCCGGTAGTAAAGGGGTTAAGCTCAAACTCTGTGCCCTAAAACTCAAATCTTTCTGCAGTGCAGCTGCAACCAGTGTTTTTTTTTTTTTTTCTTCTTCTTCTTCTTCTTTTTTTGTATTTTAGGGAAGGGTCTACAGGGTGTTCAATAGTCTGATCTCCCTACTAGATCAGACTCATAGTGATCTGCCTGTTTACAGCCTCCCAAGAGCTGGAATTACGAGCATGTACCAATAATCCCCGGCCCCTGCTCCCGCTTGCAGGTGCTTTAATCTGCTGAGCTATTTGGCCGGTGCATGCAACCAGTGTTTGTGTCTAAAGAAGTGCCAGCTACTTTCAGAAGCAAAAGTGTGAGGCATGCAGAGCATGCCCCTGCCTTTCCAAGGCAGTTTGTTATTCAACAAGCATTTATTGAGAGTTGTTAGCTGTGGAGGACACAGTAGAATGATCGCCTTCCACTCTCTCCCTAGAACTTGGAAGCCCATCCTTTTTGTGAGTTACTCCTCACCTTAGAAGGAAGCATGAACTTTAGGTTCACAGCTACATCATTATATAGCCCAAAAACGTGGGTCTCTTTTCCAGTCTTAGCTATAACTATGTAATGGATACAGTCCTGTCATCTGAATTATACTCTGCTATATAAAGAAGCCTCCAGAATGATGTACTGGTGTCCTAGATTTAAAACAAACAAACAGGGGCCGGGAGATGGCTCAGTATAATAAGCACTTCCCTGGCAAGTGCGAAGGCCTGAGTTCCATCCCCAGTTTTGCCAAAAAATTAAAAAAATAAAACAAACGAACACTGAGCTGCATCCCTAGCTTCCAGCCTAGAAATCTGTCCCAGGTTCTGGGCATGGTGTGTCTAGTACTGAGCCTGGTCCTTGGTGTTTACACCAGACCTGCTGCATAGCGTGTGCCTAATGACAATCCACAGAAAACATTCACTGTTGGAATTTGGTTCTGAATATATCAAGTTTAATTTTTATAAATTGCTGGCACTGATGATAACTGATTTTGCTGGCCTGACCTTGCAGTGGAAAAATACTAGCACTGTGATAATGTTCATGTTTAAGCCAAGTTTTGTTTCAGATGTTGTAGAGGCATAGAACTAAATTATAAATGGTCAAGAGCTCAAATACATTGTGAAACTCTCAACATCTCTACTGGAGCTTTGAGAACTCACAGAGGTAAAACTGAATGAACTTCTGCAGACACAGAGGCCCCGTGTTCCTCGGCAGGCTCAGAACTCCAAGCGTGGCCCTTGTGGGCACGGGGCAGGCTCGGCGAGGCTGTGTGTGTTCCTCTGGCTCCTTTTATTCCTTGTGTGGACTCAGATTGTGACACTGACAGACTCTGTCAAGCACTCCTTGCCTACGGCTCCAGAAGCACACAGCTGCATACTAGCGAGACCTAGCCTCGCTAGGTCCCCATGTGGTATTTATTACTCCAAGCTGGACAGCTTCTCTCACCCCCCCAGGCCCGAGGCCACCGCAAACTCCGTGCACCATCCAGGCATACTGGACTTGAAATTCTGGGAGATGGTGACCTCTTCAACCCTGGGTACTTTGTTTATAAAGAGGATGTCTGTTATGGGTTGTCATGGAGATGAAGTGACACTACAGGCACACACAGCTGTCTGTACGTAGAGTATATGTATTTATCTGCAGCTTGTCTAGCCCTGAGGGAGTGGCATAGCCTGGCATGGGGTTGTGCAGTAAATGATAGTTTTTGCTTCTGGTACAATTACATGTTCTCTTTGTGGCCTACTTCTGATCAAATGATGAAATCAGAGAAAGAAGTTGCCCTTCTTTTACCTTCTTATCATATAAAACATTCGCCCATGGTCCTACCTTGTTCCTTTGTCTTTCATCATGCCTTGGGGTCCAGATACCAGTGTCTCATCGGGCAGGAACAAATACTCCAGGGAATCCGAGTGCCATTTGTTTCTGGTCCCAGGCCAGACTCTGTGCCTCTCTCTAGAACACGATGCTCCAACCTCCTAAGGAAGAGCAGAGTTCATCTGACATCTGGCCAGTCTGAAAACCAGAGAATGAACTTCTCATTCCTAGACCTATAGTGTTACCGTGGGACTATAAATACCGTTTGGATCTCCCTGCATATTTACTGTCAGAGATCCATGTAGGCCAAAGGTAACGTGACAAGCTGCTGCTGCTGCTTGTTATCCTGTGACACAACATTGCTTGAGATCCTTCCATGTTGAAAAGAATAGACACAATCAGTAGGGAGGGATGCCTAGAGCATGTCGTGTTAAAACAAACAGCATTGCTAAAAACAGAAAAACTGGGCAGTATTTCCAGAGCTAAACTATCCATCTAAGCCCCATTTCTTTTTCTTTTTCTTTCTTTCTTTTCTTTTCTTTCTTTTTTTTTTTTTCTGGAACCAGGGATTGAACTCAGGCCCTTGCACTAGCCAGGAAAGCAGTCATTCTACTGAGCCATTCAGTAGAATTCAGTCATTCATCTTCCTGGCCCCTCAATTTTTGAGAAAAGCAAATTCTCAAAACTCTTTTTTTCCTAAATCTACAGATTATTTGAAAGACTATTACCAGAATCACAAGCGAAACCATTGTTTTGTTGTCTCTGTCCATGGACAACATGTCCATGTTGTCTCTGTCAACAGTTTCATGGAGGAAAAAAGCACGTAAATAAGCTGACTGCAGGCCTTCATGATAAGCCTTATAATACACATGCATGCTTTCTCCTCCCGGGGCTCCGAAGCTAGCAAGTCACCTGGAAACAGTGATAGCAGAACGTAAAAGAGAAACTTGACCTGACTAACACAATACTAAACATACTAAGGTTTACGTTTAAACACAAATTGTAGAGCTGTGTGTAAATACTCTCCTTTGGTTAGCTACTATTTTGGATTTTCTGATCTGTGCACAGACCACCTACTAATATTACTCTATCGTTAAGAAGAAAGAATTGTCATTTTCCAAATTAATGGGCCAAGAATGCAACTGTTGCAAGAATCCATCTCTTTCTGTCTCCTGGAAGTTCTGTGATTCAGATCAGACTCACAGGGATCCACCTGTTTACAGCCTCCCAAAAGCTAGGATTACAGGAGCATGCCACCACACCCAGTCTAAGTTGCAGTCTCAGCGCGCCCTGGGGGTGGGGCCAGCACAGCAGGCCCGGGTATCGAACCCCTGGCCCTTGTGCCTGCTTGCAGGGACTTTAATCTGCTGAGCTATTTGGCCAGCCCAGAAATAACAGGTTTTTTAAAATATGATAATGATGACAATTGCCAATGATAGAAAATCCAAAAATAATAATAAAGAAAATGCACAAAATACTTTGCATAGTGGCCATATCCAACCCTAGCTTGTCAAGTTTCTCCAAAGTGCACTTACTGGTGATCACTCTGAGAGATTTAAACACAAAAGGCAACAAAGGGTAATTCTTCATGAATAATCCTGTAGAATGGAATTAGTGAATAAACCTTTATGAATAACTTTGCAATTGAAGGGCCAAATGATCCACAAAAGAAATGGTCACAGCCAAGTCTCCTGCCTCTTGCTTGATGATACTTGCAGTGATAGCAGAACGTAAAAGAGAAACTTGACCTGACAGAAACTTACTTCACATCATTGCCCACTGAAGGAGCCACACCTATAAATATTTGTACCTGATTAGCTCTGAAATAGTTGTCCTCATTGGTAAGTGCTTGGGGGCCGCTTTCATCATGTCAGACACTGAAATAGTTACTAGGGTTACAGAAACATAAGCTCCTGTTCCTGCTCGGGAAGGACTACAGGTGGAAGGAGGAGACAGATGGTGAACACACAGTGGTGGCCCAGGACAGAGTATCTGTGAACTTCAAGGTGCGTGCAGGGCAGGCTGGTGCCACAGAGCCGAGGCTGCCTTCCTGCAGTGCTGTAGGAAGAGTGCTGCGTGGAGAGGTGGTTCTGGGTCTGGAATCTTTGGAACAGAGGAGCAGTGGGGAAGCCATTTCCACACAGAACTCTGTGCCAAATTTTAGGGAAACAGGATGAATCATCCGTGTGTTCTGTCAGCAGATGTTCCTTGAGGGGTCCTATGTGCCAGAATCTTGTTTCTAAAAACAGTTTCATGGAGGAAAAAAGCACGTAAATAAGCTGACTGCAGGCCTTCATGATAAGCCTTATAATACACATGCATGCTTTCTCCTTCCGGGGCTCCGAAGCTAGCAAGTCACCTGGAAAATTTGAGGCTTGAGGAGATTTAGGCAAAAGCTGAAGAATGATCATAGAGTTGTATATAAAACAGTACTACCAGTGGAGTGATTTCCACTTGTCTGCAGCTGAAGTGGGCATTTTAAATATTTACTGAATAAACAATAATAATGTCAGCTTAGATACATCTACTTTCTTCTTCATGGTCCATTTTTTTCTCTAGAACTTCAAGGAGGGCCTCGAATTTATCTGGACAGGTGGTAGCAGGACCTCTGGGAGCAGCCTTCTTAGCAGTCTTGTTCTTGCTTTTCAGGTGACAAAGACTGAACGTCAGGTTATGAAGCCACTGTATGACAGGTACCGGCTGGTCAAACAGATCCTGTCTCGGGTCAACACCGTACCAATCATTGTGAGTGCAGTACATTCCTGTCCTACTACCTTTGTGGCTGAGTGACGCATGTGTAGGCCCGCCCTGGCCTTAGCCTTTCATGGTTGAGCTAGTGAACAGAGAGAGATTGCTCCTCTTGGTGGCTGCAGGTGACAAAGAGTAGAAAGAAAGGGAGAGGAGCTCGTGACTTGAGACCCAGCCTCCACTGGTACATGGCTGCTTCAGGGCCCTGGTCTTGCTCTCACAAGGAGGAGGGACAGTGGCTGGCCTGCAACATGGGCACCTTTGGGCAGGTGTCTGCACCTCAGCCCATCTCTGCGAGAGCATTTCCGGTTTCAGTGCCCTCCAAGGAAGTCTATTGAGATGCATATATCTGTGGTCCAGCCCTTCCTTAAATCCCTTTGTTCATTCCCATTTAAATTCCCTTCAAGAGCATACTTGTTTTCTAATGGATGAGGAGCTAGAGGCCTCAGGCAGGTGTTTGGAAGAAAGCTACTACTCTAGAAATTTCTGTATGATCAATTAAACTAATGCAAGATTAAAGGGTAGATTCATGTCTTTCTCCTCTTAGGAACCCTTGGGTCCCTAACTAGATTGATGAAGAACAGAGAAGCTAGAGAACCTCGGGGTGGCTTTGTGAACTTGACTACTCTTGGGTCCTCATAGTCACTGTGCCTAGAGGGGAGGAGGTGGGAGGCTGTTTCTCCCCATGTGTGCTCAGCACAGACCTGTGTGGTTACTGCACCTATTGACCTGAGTGGGCTTGGAGGGGAAGCAGCAACTTGAAAAAGAACTTTGGGTGCCTTAGGTTTTTCTGGGAGCCTTTTAAGCTTGACATTAAGAGATGGTGAGAATTCTGGGGTGAAGAGAGGAGGCCAAGGGATCAGAGGAGGTACCCAGTGTAACCTGCTGTTAACACCTGTCACAGGGGTCCCCCTCCAGCAAGCGGAGAAGCCCTTTGCTGCAGCCAATTATCGAGGGTGAAACTGCTTCCTTCTTCAAGGAGATAAAGGTGAAGAGCCCCCTAGCCCACCCCCCCGAATCCCAGCCCCACCCCCTGCCTGCGGAAAGGGGTGTGGCTGTGCCCTGGGTCACCCATTGCACATTTCCACACCACCTCAGGACAAGCCCCTTTATTAGAGATTCCCTCCTGGCCTTAGTTGCTCTCTCCCCTCTTCATTTATTGTTGTTTTTGTTTTGACTTTGCTTTCAGGAATTATTTTGTTTTACGTACCTTTTGTTTTGCTTTTTTTCCCTATTTGGGGAATGATTTTCTGTATTCCAAAATGTTAAATTAGCTCATTGGACCCAAACATTTTTTTTAAAAACTCATACACTGAATGTATAGAAAAATCAGAATTAACAAAAACAATATGTGTACAGTGGTGCCTTGGTTCATGAACGTAAATTTGTCCTCTGATTTTGGAAAAGATGGCCATGGTCCTGTTTGTGTGGGGACAGTGACCACAGTCACATTGGTCACTCCATGCAGAATTTGCAAACAAAATTTTGCCAGACACTTCTGTTTGCAAACAAAAGTGTCTGTGAACCAAGGTGCCACCATAACACAAAATCCAAAATTACAATTTCTAGTGAACATCTGTGTGGCCTTTGGTAGCTTTGCTGGTACAGTTTAACCCACTCTTCTTCCCCAGCCTATTCCTCGACACCAATTTTACACTCTGTTCTTCACTGTGGGTATGTGCTGGGACCAGGATCACTAGGGCATGTGTCCAGACTTCTCTGGTTGTAGTAACTGGTTCTGCGCCAGTGCCAGTGCCGTCTTCACTGCTGGCATTGCTGGGCCATGAGGCGCAAGCTGCCGAGGACCATGTACCCGTGCTGCGCCTGAGCCGCCTCTGCAAGGACTGGCCTCTTTCACCTTCTGCTTCTAGATACCTGAACAAACTAGATTGCTCCATAGGGACTTAAGCACCTTCTACAGGATTCTACAAATAAAAAAGCAAAGGCAATTTATTTTCTAAAAATGATGTTTATTTTTAGCAGTGGTTTAGATCCCTTGAGGTTTTAAGAGTTGCACCTATCAGATTTCTGGGACAGCTCAATGCCTAGAGGGAGGGAAGGCTGTCCTTTGGAATGATGCTTTCAGAATAACCTTTCCTAATGAGAGACACCAACAGAGAACTTTCTCTGGAGCTCAAGACAAGGGACCATAGGCTACCAGTTCTTCTATTCCTACCTCTTAGAGATAACATTAAGGTATTAGGCAAGAACTGTGTTCACCATTCATATAATTTTAAATAGAACTTGTTTGATGAAAATGTTCTAAACAAAGTATTGGAAAATCTGAGCCAGGGTACTATATTGATTGTATCTTTAAAAAGTGAGGCTGTTGTGTCACTGGTGTGGTGGCACGTACCTGTGATCCTAGCACTCTGGGAGGATAAGGCAGGAGGGTGCAAATTTTACTCCACTCTGGCCAAGCTAGTGAATCTGTGTCTTTTTTTTTTTTTTTAGTTTTTAAATTTTTTATTTCTAAAGAGAATACAAAAAATAGTAAAAATAATTAGAAACAATACAGAATTTCACTAAACAAAATGATAAGGATTCAACAATGGTTGTTACATTGCATACTGTTGTCTTCAAATTAGCTGTTCATTTGAAAAGTTAACACAATACCATCAACATTCTCCTCTGTCATTAGAATTCTTCCCAACCATGACTTTAAGAAAATGGTGTAGTATTTTACACTCTGGTAGTACAATCTGTTTCATCATGTTCCCAATTTGTCATAGGTTGTCTCCCTTTCTGGCTGTATTTGTGTAGAGTATTTATCCACTTGGGTCTCCTTTCCAACAGCTATTTGAATTGAACTGTGCTGCAATCCTCCTGACTCAGGAGCTCCTTTTCCAGTTTGCGGGGCTGGTCGGGCACAGAACACTGAATCTGTGTCTTTAAAAAATTTTGAAAGGTCTGAGGATGCAGCTCTGTGCAGGGGCTCTGGGTTCATTTCCCAGTACCGAAAAACAAAATCTACTGGGACTAGGAATATAGCTCCGTGCTTGCTCAGCACGCATGAGTCCTTGGGTATTATCCCCAGCACACACCATGCACACACACACACACACACACACACACACACACACACTCAGGCTATTTTTGTACAATAAGCCTTTATGTTGATAAAGAAATGTTGGCAGATAATTTCACACAAGAACTAAAGCACACAAGAATAAATGAATATCCTAATGATACTCTCATTTTATAAGAGTTACTCTTCCTATTCTTAGCTTTTCATTTTTTTTTTTTTTTCCTTGAGAATGCTTTGGTCCTGGCTTATTGTCTGTTGGCCCACATTGTGGTCAGAATTTCAGATAATTTTGTAACAGCTATATTGCTTTTGTAAATAATGCTGTTTCCTGGTTCTTTTTATTCCAACTGGCCAACCTTACCCTATATTTGTACTTTATTAATTCTTGGCAAATTACATACAGTTTAAAATTTGGTGCAGAGCTGGGGAGATGGCTCAGTGGAATAAGCGTTTCCCTGGCAAGCGCAAGGGCCTGAGTTCAATCCCTGGTTCTGCCAAACAATAAAGTACCTCATATCTAAGAGGCTTCATTAAAACCCATTCCTGCTAGTGATTTAGCTCAGTGGCATAGCACCTGACTGGCAAGCATAAGGTCCTGAGCTTGATTCCTGGTACAAAAAAAAAAAAAAAACTGTTTTTAATTACTTATGGGAGGAAGTAGCTGTGTAAAAAATAGAGCCAGTGCACATTCTGAGTTCTAGATTTTCAGGCGAAAGAAACCTAGTCAGCAAATCAGTTCTTTTTTCTTCTACAATTTTTTCCAGTTAATTCTTATAAACACTGTATAGGTGGGTATTGTTACCCCTCCTCACACACACAAAGTATTCATTTAGGGGCCAGGGAGATGGCTCAGTAGGATAAGCGCTTGACTGGCAAACGCAAGGATCTGGGTTCAATCTCCGGTTCCGCCAAAAAGAAAAAAAAACAAAACAAAACAAAAACACCAAAGCATTCATTTAAAAAAGCCAGGTTTCGGTCTATAAAGGTTAAAATATATTTCTGACAATTTATAAATTACCGAGGAATTTCCCTCTATGGACGCAGCGACAGGATTGAAGGAGTAGCTGAGAGACGCAGGGAAGCCGCCCAGGTTTCGGCAGCTGTGCCTTCGTGCCTTGGTGACGGGGCTTGCGTTTCAGGTCCACAGCAGGCACACAAGCAGCTCTAGGGACCGCGGGGGACTCGATGGCCGCAGGTCCCGTGGAGTGCGCGTGCGTGCAGGTGTGTGAGCAGGTGTTCACGGGGCCCGTGTGTCTCCAGGAGGAAGAGGCTGGCTCGGAGGACGACGGCCCCCCGAAGCCCGACTTCACGGTCTCTCTGGAAACAGACTTCAGCGCACGCTGCTTCCTGGACCAGTTCGAAGATGATGCTGATGGGTTTATTTCCCCGATGGATGATAAAATACCGTCGAAATGCAGCCAGGACACCGGGCTGTCAAATCTCCACGCTGCTTCAATGTAGGTCATTTTATTTTTTTTTTTTTATTTTTTTT